AAGTAGACTGGACATAAACCACACACTTGAGGTGTCATTGTCTCCTATTACCCCGAGATGGGACCGTCTGGTTGCAGAAAATCAAGCTCGGTGCTGTGGTGAGTCGTCATTTTCATGCACTTTGAATTTGCGTTGTATTGTATTTTGAAGGCATTAAACATTGCCATCGCGATCGGAGTGTTGCGGCCAGATTAGACGCTCTTTGTGTTTATTATTATATTTCGAAAACGCCACAGTTTTCATGCAGCTCATACCATCTTATTTTGTTGTATTATTTCCGCCACACCTTAAATGCCGGTCCCTGAAAATATTGTCTGACTTAAACCGGTCCGTGGGGCAAAAAAGGTTGGGGACCCCTGACGTATAAGACTGCCAATCAACATGGCTGTGCATCATGGGATAGATCGACTCGTGTTGTCATTGGTTGATGTTGGCGCTGGGAACAAATCAAGTTACAGCCATGCACAAAACCTCTGATTCATTCTGCATTTTTTCTGAATACAGTACTTTGGAAAAAAAAAAACGCCATGCACCGAGGCCCCGATAATCAAAGCGTGAAATAGCGAGGGATCACTGTAGTGTTCTGGAAACTACCGGTGGCAGAGAAGTATCCCAATCTCAGAAGATGTACTTTGAACCTGACAGCTCTTTTTGGATCAATCTATTTGTACGAGTCTGCTTTCTCGCACATGAACATCATCAAGTCCAATCCAAACAGAGATCTACCTGTTTCGTCGCTGTTTTTTTTTTTCTGTTTGGTTCATATTTAGGTCAGTAATGGCTATTGCTCATCATGCAGATTAGACTAGAAGTCCCAGGATTTTCTTACCCCTCCAGAATGCCCAGAGGACCAACAACAAAACCAACAACTCAACGATCCATTTTGTCAACATTGTTCTGTAAACGCAGGAAGGTGAGGCGCTTCCCCCACCTTGTTCAAATGGAATGTGGTGGTTTTCTTTAGGTTAGCATGCGAACAGTCATTGCTGAGTTGTGTTGTTCACACCAGAGTTTTCCTCATTTGCAGATCAATGGTGAAACGAAGTTGGCCAGTTGGCTGCCCTTTGGGCATTCTATGTAGGAAAGCCAAATGGCTTGGCCCTGGGACTTTTAGTGCTAATGTGTGTGTATAGGGGAGGGGGGCGGTGGTGTCAGATGTTGACACTGGATTGGTAGATCTCCAGAGTTTGGCTCCTTGAAAAGTAGCCCTTGGGACAAAAAAGGTTGGGCACCCCTGATCTATAACATACTGTGATCCCTCACCACTTTGCGCTTCAAGTTTTGCGGCTTCGATGTTTTTTTCCGGGTGCGACATCAACCAATGAGAACACGGAGCAGCGGATTTATACCGTGAGCTGATTGGCTGCGCACATGGCAGCCTCACTCAGCATTTCCCTTGTCTTGCTTGTACAGCATTTCCCTTGTCTTGCTCACTTTTTTTTGTTTAAACAATAACTTTTTTTGATTAGTTAAGCTGCGTTCTAAACCCCTTTGCTGCTGCTGAAGCAATCCGTCCCGGCTGTGTGGGAGCGTGTAAGCCCGCTCGTCGAAGATGGAACCATCAACAGAGACAAACTGCTTCAGCGGCGGAGGTGGGGACTTGGTTCACAGCCTTGGCCGGGTTGGGGAGCCTTATTTTGAAGGTTTCCAACCTGGTCAGCTGTTTTTTTTAGATACGTCACAAGGAAGCAGTGACATCTCAGGCTGAAGTGACAGTCCAAACTGTCAGCTCGGTAACCAAGGTTTTTTTTCTTCTTCACTATAAAAAGACCATTGTCTGATAAAAAAAGAAACCTTAGGTTTTACAATTAAAGAATTAAGTAAATACGTGACCTCTTGTCATTTTTGTCTCAAGTATGCAAAGTAAAAATCCTGTTTAAATATTTTAAACATGCTGGTACCAATGATGTTTCTTGCTTGCAATAACATCAGTGATCAGACAGACATACGACATGGTGGACAGGGGCTCTTCCCATCCAGTTTACTCCCGCATGTACATACACATACAGTCAAACCTCGGTTTTCGAACGTCTCGGTTCTCGACCAATTTGGTTTTCGACCAAAAATTTCGAGTTTTTTATGCCTCAGATGGCCAACAAATTTCGGTTCTCAACCAAACTGAGCGCACTTGAATGCGCCACTCGACTCCTCTCGCCTTCCTTACACGAGGAAATGACGCTTCCTCGGGTAGACGAGGAAGTGACGCTTCCTCGTGTCGCTTTCCATCGTGAGCAGACGTGTTCAAAAACATTTTTTTTTTAAAAGAGCGTGGTTTCGGTTTTCGAACAATTTCGGTTTTCGAACAGCCTTCTGGAACGGATTATGGACGAAAACCGAGGTTTGACTGTAACTGGTCTGTTGTCAACTGCCTGTAGTCTTAAACCTTGGCCACCAGAGGGTGATAACATACTGTGGAACAGCCGTGAAATCCCGGTTCACATTTAACACAAAAATTCCTTGGGCAGGGATCAAATCCTCCTTTGCTGTCTTTTTTTGGGGGTGGGGGGGGGGGGTCTGTTACCAATTAACCGCAAAAATGAGGGATTACTGTATGTCATACTTTTTAAAATTCTGATTAGGTAAAAAACAAAGTAAATAAATAAAAACTGTATTGATGAACTGATCTGAATTGCTTATGTTGTGATGCACTTTTCCACCATATCGCTCACAGTCCTAACATCAGTGAATAACTTGTTCCAGCAAATTTTCACCACTCTAATCACTGACTGAACCACCCTGTGTAGCCAGTATTTGGAGACAAAAAAAAAAAAATCTGACTTTTTTTGCCACTTAATAGAAAATCGCAAATATTGTGGGGGTTTTTTTTGTGTTTTTTGTTTGTTTTTTTTGTCAAGAGCGAGCGACAGGTTTCAATAAAATTAATAACTGGAATAATTTGCAAATGCCAAACCACAAATTTGTGGGGGTCCTAATCATAATAACAATCAAACGTGTAATCAACCACAGATTTGGCACGTACCAACCACCATGATGTTGAACTCAAAGCCAGCTTTCATGGTCTTGTGTCTCATCTGGTCCAACACTGCCTCAATGCCCACATAGCCAAACAGGTCACTGCCACGGATGAAACTCATCTGCAAGTCTGGGACAGATTGGCACATTTCCACCTTCACCTCTGACTCCACCTCTTTCTTCATCTCTCCCTCCTCCATTCCTTTCTCCTTTTCTTTCTCCTCCACCTCTGCATGGACTTCCACACCATTTGCTTGAGTTTCTTTGTCAGAATTCTCTGTAACCGTGCTTGCTAGTATTGCTTCACTCTTCTCCTCTAGGACTTGCTCTTCACCCATGATGCCATTCTCCTCCTCCTCTCTCTCCTCCATCAGGGAAGGTACTTCTACGTTCAGATCTCCAGCACTTGCTGTGAAACAAAGACACAGATATAGATTGGAGGTTAATTGTATAAGAGTTTGGAATAATTGTGTTCATGAATTGTCATTTTTCCACATCTATTCTCTATTCACCTAAAGTTTGAAATGTAACATTTTCCCTTAGATTCACTTTAAATTCTCTCAACAAATGTCATGCAATTTAACACATTAGTGTTATTAACGCCCGCTTTAACACCACTCACCAAACATCGGAGGCAATTGAAGGATCAGAGGTTTAGGGCTGCTCAGATCCCAGCTCAGCAAGATAAACTTCACTGATTTATTCCGACATTTATGAAAGAAAAATCACAACACTTTTGGGCCAAAGTATGTGTCGAAATCACCAATCCATTTTCCGATCCATTTTATCCTCACAAGGGTCACGGGGCATGCTGGAGCCTATCCCAGTTATCTTCGGGCAGTCCGCGGGGGACACCCTCAACCGGTTCTCAGCCAATCGCAGGGCAAACACAGACGAACAACCATCCACGCTCATACTCACACGTAGGGACAATTTAGAGTGTTTGATCAGCCTGCCTTGCATGTTTTTGGAATGTGGGAGGAAACCAGAGTACCCGGAGAAAACCCACGCACGGGAAGAACATGCAAACTCCACACAGGAAGGCCAGAGTGGGAGTGAACCCACGACCTCTGCACTGTGAGGTTGACGCTCTAACCACTCGACACCGAGCCGCCCATAATCAAATCAGATAAAGGTTATTTACATGTTAAGCCATGATGAAAGAGGAAAGTCTCATATTTATAAAACAAATGTATTGTAAGCCAACAAATTTCTGGGGGAACATGTTTTTTTTTTTTTATACAGCAGCACTTCAATGTAAATATTAACAGTATTTTTTTTTTTCCTGGATGAAACCAGCTCCTACAGTGAGTACTAACCCTTCCGGCATTAACCCTTTCATGCACCCGAGTACTAACCCTTCCGGCATTAACCCTTTCATGCACCCTGTAACCTGATAACATGGTAAGTTGTCCACTGTAGTAACGGCCGTCCCTGAAAGGGCTAAAAACAACAAAACTGGACCTTTGACATATTTTTAGGATCTTGACATGTGATGCAGTGCACAACATGAAAAACAAGCCCATCTGTTTGCTCCTCCCTCCCTCTGTGTCCTAACAGGAGTTATGGTCTTCATGAGTATCCAGTCAGTGTCTGAAACTTGTCAGCAGCACCTTAGCTTTAATGTATTAGCTTTAATTCACATGATACAACAGCTTGCTTCTTTCATTCCAATTTAAACAGAAGACAGTGTGTCTGTCTCTGACCACTTGAAACATTTCCTGACTCGAAAAAAAAACAACCCATCAGTCAACGCCAACTTAACATAATAATAGTGCCCTACAATTAAACGAACAAAACACATTTGAGGCAAGGAGGGGTGGATGCTGTATTTTTGTTGTTTAAACATTACTACAGTATTAAACATGAATGATTTCATTTATATAGAATTTCTCGAATTTTAGGGATGCAAAATTGAGAAAGAGCTTGCCAGTGTTCACCATGACAAGCAAACTCAATGTGGCACAGACACTTCCAGGCTTACCTGACCAGTGAAGTATCACAAGTCTGTGTGCAGTCTGGGTCTGTAGTCTGGTCTGTGTTGTAAGAGGATTGACAGTTGAGTGCATATGCGTGTCCGCTCACAAATGCATGACTGAGGCATGTGTGTGAGAATGACTTTCAGCAGAGACAAGAAGTCGACACACCTGTGCTGAACGGCCAGGTTTTCGGAAAAAAAAATATGAGCTTTTGAATGTGATTGGTTAATTCTGCACACGGCCATATCCCCGGTTATAAGAGGGTGTGCACATTTGTGCGACGACATCTCATTTCTTTATTTCTACTTCTCCCCAATTGTTTCTCTCTCTGTGAAGTTGTACAGGTTATAGGTCTTATTAATGAATGAAAAAGTTTTGAAATGATTTATCTTGGTAATACATTTTCATAAACATTTTTTGTTTTGAACAGGGATGATTCGACTTTTTATATCCAGTGTATGTGCGAAATTAATCACTTCCAGGGATTGAAAATCAACAGCCTGCGGTAATAGCTCCATCTCACCTTCTTTATTTCCTCTTTGTTTCATGTACTTTGTTGTGTTTCCCCCCACTACTTGCAGGCAGCCAACAGGACTGCGACTGTTTGGTCTCAAGACAGAGGAGGTGATGCAGGAGTGTTTCTATATCACAGATTGATTGTACGTATTTAAAGAAGTACATTTTGGCAAAAAGATTATCCTTATTATTATTATTTTGTTCACGTTCAATATTTATGTGCATAAAAAATGCTCCATCAAAAAAGGGAGTGCATGGAAGCTCTGCTTGATGGAACTCAAGTGTCTGCATCAAGCAGGACCAAGCCACAAAATAAAGGAGAGAAATGCATTATCTCCCATTTTCTCTGCGCAGATGACAAGGGCTGAAATAATTATTTTCACAACACAAACAATAATCCGTCTTCCCTGCACTGTCTCCCCTATGTCGCTTTCATAGCTGCAGGCAGATAATATACCGGACTGCCTGAGATACATTTGAATATTTCTTTGGCAGGAAATCACATTAGCGGCTATTAAAAAGTAATTATTTGTACATAAATTCCCGACAAGTTTGGGCTGAGACTTGGCAGATGCCTGTACGTGTGTGTGTGTCTGTGTGTGCGTGCGCTTGAACACGTGCGTGCGTGTGTGTGTGTGTGTGTGTGTGTGTGTGTAATGAAGTTCGATGCTAAGCCACTTATTGAGTGAGACAATGCAGTGCTGTGTTTATTACAAAAAAAAAGGCGAAAGGCAACGCCATCATAAACTACAAACACACACACACACACACACACACACACACACACACACACACACACACACACACACAAGCTGAGGCTACCCCGAAGTGTTAAGCTGCATCATTTAATCAGCTAAAAATATCCAACTGTAAACCCATTGGGACACAGGTAATCCTGATGAGTAGTGACAGAGTTCGAGTGAAACACATTTAAGTCTGGTTTTTCTTTAAATACTGCAATAAGCTTTCATATTATTTTAATAAAAGTTAAATATACACTTATTTTGCACAATGTGAGGTTTTCCAAAGACCAACATTTAAAAGATGTATTAAGGACAATTTATTTAGTGATCACTTGATTCAGAATATGAATAATCATTGTTATATTAACATGAAAACAATAGTTATTTTAATATCTGGAACAAACGCCGAGTTAAATCATGTTGATATATTTGGGATAAATTTCCACAGAAGTTTATTTTTATTCATTTTTACGTGAAGCACGTGGCAACTAGATTTGACATCAGTTTAAACTGTGTATATTATTTCAGTGGTAGTTACATGCAGCATTATTTTTTTTCCTCCTCCGAGGAGGATAATGAGGAGACTCAGGCATGTAAAAGACAAAGTCAACAATATATGTGCACTTAAACCCACTCAGACAGAGTGTGTAATGACTAGTAATGTCTGTGAAATGCAAACAGTGTGTCAGATTGCCGGAGAGAAATGGACACAAACTTATTGACTAAGGACAGAAAAAAACCGAAGGCAAACACGTATTGTAGGGAAGGAACCGACACAAACACATTTAGAACACAACAAAGAGGACATGCAACTTACACACATTGACTTCTTCCTTTTTGTGTCCTGGTTTTGCACAGCTAGAGAAGCAAAAGTAGTAGGGTTTTTTTTCTCAGACTGATCAGTGGTTCTCAAACAGTAGACACACAAATGAAATGAGAAAAATATACACGTATTCTGTAATCGCAGACAACCATGATCTCTCACGGTTTTTAAGTGCACAACTGTTCACACACCCACTACTGTTTTGATCATGCTTTGAGATGAAGGACTATCTGAAAAAATGGTGTAACACTTAGCTCCTCTTTTTTCTGAAACAAATATAGTATGGGCCAAAATACTGCAGTGTGAGGTTGGGGAAGCTCAGGCTGAATCACGTTCCAACACGGTGCCTGTTTTGAACAGTGGGAGAAGTACCACACACAAACATTCCGAATGTGAAAATGAGACATTGAAAGGCCAGGAACGTCAAAGATTCAATCTCCTAGTTGCTATATAGCAACAGTGCTCACCACTCAGCCTCGACATCTGTCAAAAGTTGTTAAAAATGATTCCCGTTCACACAACCTTGTCCAAACGACACGAAAAAATTTAATTTTCAAGCCGCCTTGTCAGAAAATGAGGCACATGTTCGTCAATTGCTTATTTTCCCCTTTTAGGTCATACACAGTTGCAAGAAAAATTAGGTGGACTCTTTGGAATTACCTGTATTTTCATATATCATGTGATCTTGATCCAAGTCAGAGTAGACAAACCCAGTTCCGTTGGAGCAAATTCCACAAATTCACACAACTTGTGTGTGATATTTACAGTGGTAGGCGTGCCAGTGAACTTTTGTCGGAACCAGAAGTCCGTCAGTGTCAGGTGTCATTATTTTGGCCCAGCCCAGTCTGTCAATCCGTCTTTGTTATTTTTAATAAGCCTCCATCACTAAATTACATTTCGTCATCGCTATTTTAAGAATGTCAATAAAAAGCTTCTTATGAGAATATCATTTATTCATTTAGAAACAGTTTGGACCACTTTACACACTAAAAATATGGAAATTCCACATCCTGCTTCTCCTCCCCAAAAATGTTGCCGTCTGCGCTTTTTCGGGTGAGTGTTTCAAAGTAACTGACAATTGTCGGTCCACCAGGAAAGGGGAGTTGATCAGTGACGAACTGGCAGGTCTTCCATCGATGCTGTCGGAGAGGTGTAAATGCCCACCTCTGGATGTGTATCAGGAAGGGTAGCTTTTACAAACAAATCCATCTGATCATATTGATTGGATTCGAGGTCAGGCGATTCCTGGCTCTGATTATCTCTCTAATTAGCCCATGGGTTCACATACTTTGTCCCCAGCTAATTGGTACATCAGTCTTGGTAAGTCAGCATCTATTCACTTGTCTCT